ACCCAGCAAGGTATTGATACCAAATCAGAGATCGGTTGAAACAAGTTGAAATGTCGGAGGCAGACAGCAGTTATACAAATCTTCGCCGTGAAAACTAAATGTTAGTCTAAAAGAAATGTAGATAATGTCTAGATGCTTTTTACAGTGGAGATCAAGTTTATAAAGTGCCTGGCTGGGCGATGAGACAGTTGATTACGCAATCCGATGGAACAGAGTAAATAGGCATTTTAATGTCATAGATTTCACCGATGTAACTTGTGGAAGACACCGGCTGTAATGCGGTTTTAACCAATCAGCATCCAGGATTAGACCCACCCGTTGTATAATATAACATATTGGTTACACAAACAGTTATTTCAATACAAACAACAGTTCCGGAACACAATGGCCTTGTGTTAGGGTGCAGACATACCAGGAGTCTATGAAAGGCATAACATCACAGTCCAAGCAGAACATATCCTTGAAGTTACAACAGCTCACCCCAATTTGCCACCACAATACTATTCCCCTCATTATCTCTCTTTTATTTTATACTATGCTTCTACATTATTCTATACTCTACACTTATTAAGAAAACTTGGCATAATCTCTTTCCTTTGACCGGTCTTCACCTGGGTATACAGTATACAGTGGCTTGCGAAAGTATTCACCCCCCTTGGCATTTTCCTATTTTGTTGCCTACAACCTGGAATTAAAATGATTTTTGGGGGCTTGTATCATTTGATTTACACAACATGCCTACCACTTTGAAGATGCAAACATAATGTTTTTGTGAAACAAACATGAAATAAGACATAAAAACAGAACTTGAGCATGCATAACTATTCACTCCCCCTCCCCCCCAAAGTCAATACTTTGTAGAGCCAACCTTTTTGCAGCAATTACAGTCTGCAATGTATCTTGGGGTTATGTCTCTATAAGCTTGGCACGTCTAGCCACTAGGATTTTTGTCCATTCTCAAAGGTAAAACTGCTCCAGCTCCTTGCAAGTTGGAATGGGTTTCTGCTGGTGTACAGCACTCTTTAAGTCATACCACAGATTCTCAATTGGATTGAGGTCTGGGCTTTGACTAGGCCATTCCAAGACATGTTAAATGTTTTCCCCTTAAACCCCTCTAGTGTTGCTTAGCAGTTATCTGTAGGGTCATTGTCCTGCTGGAAGTGTGAACCCTCCGACTGAAACAGGTTTCCCTCAAGAATTTCCCTGTATTTCACGCCATCCCATCATTCCTTCAATTCTAACCAGTTTCAGAGTCCATGCTGATGAAAAAAATCCCCCCACAGCATGATGCTGCCACCACCATGCTTCACTGTGGGGATGGTGTTCTCGGGGGTGATGAGAGGTGTTGGGTTTGCGCCAGACCTAGCGTTTTTCCTTGATGGCCAAAAAGCTAAATTTTAGTCTCATCTGACCAGAGTACCTTCTTCCATATGTTTGGGGAGGTCTCCCACATGCCTTTTGGCGAACACCAAACGTGTTTGCTTATTTCCACTTTTTTAAAGTGGTCCTATGGACAGATACTCCAATCTCCGCTGTGGAGCTTTGCAGCTCCTTCATGGGTTATCTTTGGTCTCTATGTTGCCTCTCTGATTAATGCCCTCCTTGCCTGGTCAGTGAGTTTTGGTGGGCGGGCCCCTCTCTTGGGCAGGTTTGTTGTGGTGGCCCATATTCTTTCCATTTTTTTATAATGTATTTAATGGTGCTCCGTGGGATGTTCAAAGTTTCGGATATTGGTTAATACCCCAACCCTGAGCCATACTCTCCACAACTTTGTCCCTGACCTGTTGGAGAGCTCCTTGGTCTTCATGGTGCCGCTTGCTTAGTGGTGTTGCAGGACTCTGGGGCCTTTCAGAAACAGGTGGTATATATACTGAGATCATGTGACAGATCATGTGACACTTAGATTGCACACAGGTGGACTTTATTTAACTAATTATGTGACTTCTGAAGGTAGTTAGTGGCACCCAGATCTTATTTAGGGGCTTCATAGCAAAAGGGGGTGGAATACATATGCACGCACCCACTTTTCCGTTATTTATTTTTTAGAATTTTTTGAAAAAGTTTATTTTTTTCATTTCACTTCACCAATTTGGACTATTTTGTGTATGTCCATTACATGAAATCCAAATAAAAATCCATTTAAATTACAGATTGTAATGCAACAAAATAGGAAAAATGCCAAGGGGGATGAATACCTTTGCAAGGCACTGGTATGTGTAGACACGCTTGCTGTTGCTGTACAAAACTACGATTTCTTGCTCAACACTACAGTAGGTAGTCTGTCTCTGGAGGCTGCGTTTAGACAGGCAGACCAATTCTTTTGACCAATCAGATCAGCTATAAAAAAAGATCTGACATGAAAAGAGCTAAAGTTTTTGGTCAAAAGAGCAATTAGTGGAACAAAGATCAGAATTGGGTCTGCCTGTCTAAACGCAGCCTGAGTGTGGAATGGGTTTTGGTGTGTATAATTGTGTTTGATCAAACATTTGTCAGCTGATGTCTGTAAAGTTTTCCAATCCCTCTGGGTGTGTCTGGTCGTTGATGTCTAATTGACCCCACGTTAGTTCAGTGTATTCAATGCCACACAGGTGTCTGTTGCAGTGGAGGCTGCTGAGGGAGGACGGCTCATTGTAATGGATGGAATGGCATCAATGGTATGGTATCAAACACATGGTTTCCCTCCACTGGTCTGTAGCCTAGGTACTCCTATCAGTGATATTGATAGATTGAGCCCCTGGCCGTGTTCCAGAGCATCAAAACTGTGATGGGACATGGGTGAATTGTGACTGAATGACTGATCTACAATAATATTGAGTAGTTTCAAGTTTCAAGTTTTAATGTCACATGCACAAGTACAGTGAATCGCCTTTCTCGCATGCCTCTAAACCAGGGTTCTTCAATTCCGGTCCTGGAGGGCCGAAACACCTCTGTTTTCATCCTCTCCTTCTAATCAGGGGCTAATTCAGACCTGGGACACCAGGTGACTGCAATTAACTACCAGGTAGAAATATAAAACAGAAGTGTTTCGGCCCTCCAGGACCGGAATTGAAGAACCCTGCTCTAAACCCTACAATGCAATAAATCAATAACAATGTATTACTCAGAAAAAAAAACACACGAGAAATAAGAATAGGAAATATGAAATACACAATAAAGTAATTAGGTAAGTCAGCATACTATATACAGGAAATATAAATCAGTCTCGACTCGCCTTAAA